GGTACTGTTTTATAGAGTTAAATTTCTGTTGTGGATGGATGTCCACCGAGTTTAACACTCGACAAAACCTCAGATCCAACCCAATGTGGCCCGTGTCGACTAGGGAACTTCAACCCAATCTTGAATGACTATTACCAATGGCTTCTACGCCGTTTTTGCATTTCATTCACGTGACGGAATGGCCAGCATTATATGATAGAGGTTTTGACTCGAACAAATAACGAGGTGTGATTGGGCAATACAAAGTTATCCTCAATATATAACCCAATATCGCTATTCTCGTACTTCCGGTATACGTATACTATAGGTAGGGGGTGATGGTTATGTTTTTGTGCTATTACGAATACAGATGACTACTAATAGTCCTACAACAGTACGTAGTACTATGTATTTGCATGGCAAACGTGAACCCAAACAGTGTGTACAAGGGAAAATGCACTTCCCATCAACCAACATCCAGGTCAGGAGTTCTGGGCAAAATGTAAAGTCGAGTTAGTTAGAAGTCTAGGCTAAAGATTCTATCAATCTAAATGGTAACTAACTCTAAGGTTCTATCGTTCCTAATCGATTTCAACGTAGTCGGTTTCACACGAGTTGGGGCACCCATCGTTGAAAATAGTCAACTTGGTGTCCAATCACCAATCGAACTTGACGGGGAGACCACTGATTGGTGGAGGTCGGGGAACTTCAGTCACGACCTATCCCAATCACCGAGTCACCCGAGTCACTTGACCGAGGGTCTTTGATTGGTGATATCACACCTTGACATGGTGTTATACATGTACTATGTCATTGTGCTTTTAATATAATTTAACCAGACATTGAAAAAATAATATAAGCCCGATTGAAGATAAAACAACGCTAAACCCAAGTTCTGCATTTCATCAGAATAAAACAACCCATACTTTATTTCAGCCGCTAACTAATCGAGTTGCAGCACCAGACCAACTTACGCAGTGAAACCACCCGTTCATCACGATGCCTACCGTATTAGGATGTGAAATGGGAGAACTATACATCGTGTAGTTGTAGCGCGCCGTTACATCACGGATGGGAGGTCATGTACAATATGTGCTTCAGTTTCATTGCGGTAAGCACTTTGACGTGTTGACGTTAAAACAAGTTGTTTGCCAGAATGAAAACGGTAAACAACTTGTTTTACCTCAACACATCAAGGTGCTTGCCGCAGTTGTTTGCCATAAACGGCAAACAACTTGTTTTAAGAAAGTGCCTATAAAACCACCTTCAACCAACAAACATCACATTAGATGAAGTAACTTCAAGCAATGCACCCAACCGTTATTCAAGTTACGTTATTCAAGTTACTTTAGACGTTGTTTAAGCCTGAGAAAAGTTTAAACAATGAATTTAACCCTGGAATTGCCAAAAATGGTGCAAAGCACGATACTAGTTAGTAGGTATACTACAACTACATTTTGTAGAGTGTAGTTTAAACAAGTTAACACCTGTAAATTTGATCAAATGGATTCGAAAGCTAACGTAGATGGCCAATTTCTGGTGCACTTGAAAGATACGTCGTCGCAAATTTCAGCTTTCTCGCCTGGATTTCATTCTGAAAAGTGCTGCATGAAGCCGAAAGGTTCGGCATCTTTCTGATTATTTAATCGACTTGAATAGACTTCAGCTTAGCCTTCATTTACTTCGATTTCCACTGAAGTCAAGGCAAAAAGGAGGGACGGATTATGGAGCACGGTTTAAGCTTAAACTATGTATGCAGTTTTTTTGCTTATGTGATGGTGATTTCATTGTTCTGCTGATTCAATAGGCTATTCCAAAGATCAAGCAACTCAATTGGCCATTTTGAAAGCCACCACGTCCTCGGTCATAACGACACCACCACGGTCACGGTCATCACGACCTGGGCTACCATGGCCATTGAAACCACCCTGGCCACTAGGCCCTCTGCGATCATCGAGGTCGTCACGTCAGCGGTGGATTGGGTGCAACGAAGCGTCGACGTCGCGTTTGCGCTTCTTGGCAGTGGAAGAGCCGTGTTTTTCAAAGCCTGTACGGTCAAAGCCAGCACGCATGATGTTGCGGACATAATCTGACTTGAGGATAGTGCACTCAGGCAACGTATGATTGGCAACGGCACAGTAAAAGCAGTACATGCCAGGGTTGTGGAAACAGTCCGGGTGGACATATCCCGGAATGGTCAATGATTTAGCACATGGAACGAACCATCAAGGCTGGCTGATCTCCTGGAGCGGAGGTGCGGGGGTCGCAACGGTATGCGTTATGGCCGCATACTGAGTGCGGGCTTGGGCAGTGATGGCAGAGCCGAGATTACCCAAAGCAGAAGCTCGTGGGCACGATTGAACAAACATTGTCAAGAACTAAGAGCAACTCGGGCAGTCCAGACATAGTTCTTGATGACTTCCCAGAGGTCCGAGTCCGCAATAAATGCATAGGTCCAAATGTAGGTGTCATAGTCGATTGACGAGATCGCAGATGTATCCAAGAGATTGAAGGTGGGCATCGTCAATGATGCACGATAACGCTTCACGTGGTCGTTGAATTCCACGGCGAGGGTGTCGATACAACTGTCGTCAGTGAACTTGAGATTCCGTAAGTGATTAGCAATCACGGTGGGGTTATTGTCCATGGCATTCGACTTGAAACGAGTTTTCAGCAGCTCCAAAAGCGCGTAGGGATATTTTGTAGTGTGGTAGCGATGCCGGAGGTTGCTAGAAACACCGGACACCAAAAAGGTGTGCGCAAAAGAGCGCTGAACAGCAAGAACCTTGACCGACTCGTGATCTATTGCTTTGGCCAAGTTGGCTGTGCACGCACCTTAATGTCCGACGATCACGATCGGTCTCCGAGAAGAAGTGGTCAACATACTAGAAATCGGGGTTATTGACCTCGTCAACTTCGAGATATTCCTTGCTGATCGTGAGCGCCTCGCGAGGGATCCCAAAGGGAAGGTCGTTCGGCTGGGTGAAATACCCCATGATATCGAGGGCGGTAGTTTGGGACAAGAAATCCGTCTTTCAAATGGCGTTGGCCAGAGGCCGCGATTCATCCAGCGGGGTGCCCACAAAGTCAGCGCAGAGGTAGAATGGAGGCTCATAACCTGTTAAGAGGACGAGGAAAGAGTAGCACTTGAGGAAGGGGGCGAGAGCACAAGGAATACGTGCGTGGTCGGGGGCAACACTAAAAGTGACTTAAAACTGGTTTTAACTCTCCGGATACTATCCGGATGTCTGAACCGGCGAAGAAGACCAAAGCAGACATGCCAAAATGCCCCTTTTGACACAACTGTCCCTGTACCATAAACTGGCTATCTACGTTATTTGGTGAAATAAGTCAATAATAGCGACAATACTACTGTAATACTAGTACAGTAGCTGGTACAAGTATTGGTACTAACTAGTACTATGATGTACTAGTATTAGTATTTTAAATAAATCTCGCATAATTACTTCTACGCAGTAATAGTACAGGTGTAAACGACTCATTTGTTCGTTACTACTCCTACGGGAGTACTATTATACTTGAAGTACTACGTAGTAGTACAGTACAGTAGTAGTAGGGAATTACTACTGTAGTAAATCGAAGTACCTCGGAAATGTGAGTCACAACCTCAGCGACACGTGGTGCTTAATTAATCAATTCAACAACATGCGCTGATTACTCCAACGAACTTCGAAGTGAACAGGATGATGAATGCCACTCACGTTAGGAAACATAACGTTATTTCTGCATCGACGACCACTAACTTCAGGAACACCTTTCCGCGTCGGTAGCAAATGCACACCGGAACTTGTCTTCTAGGTAAGACACAAACTCTGCCGCTGAATTCAATGTGAAACGCGGTCTAAAGACGACTCTGAATTCTCCGACTCTTTGGTTTGCAGCCACTCAAAATCAATTGACAAACCATGATATCCTTGCCGTTCATAATATACCGTAGTAGGACGCCTTGCTGTGACAAATCAATGCCACCTCGTTGTTATAAGTGTCACTCCATTGACTTTGAACTAAACACAGTGCTGCACCGGTCGATACTCGATGGATTTGAACCAAACATGGGTTTGGAGAAAATACAAGAGCCTTTTTAGAGTCTATATTTTCTGGCAAGAATATACAACTAAGTACGTTGTACAATACTAGTATGGTACTTCATTAAAGTAAGTGCTGTACTTAAACTTTGTATAATCTGGTATGTCATGATCAGTTTGATCGGTTTACCAACCTGTTACACACACTTACTATCCCTCTAGGGGTAGGGAAAAATATATTCTCAACAACAGTTACTTAAATAGAATAATATATTCTGAAAGGGCCTGGCTAAAGAATAAGGTATTCTGAGGAGCAAGTAGGGAAATATGTTCTGAGACGTGCGTCAAGAAATAAATATATAGTTCATGCTGCAAAGACACGATATTCAGTGGTTATTATTGAATTATTCTCTGTAGTAATTCCTTTCGACTGGCGAAATCAATTCCTCGAAGTATTTATTCTATTTGTCAACAAGTAAGCATACTTCGAAGTAAATGATTTCTCCTCCTTTCATGTCACAAATACCTGGAAGTAAGCATAAATACTATTACTGTAATAGTATGTCTTTGTTTACTGACAAAAAAATACTACTTCCGGTACGTAGTATTTTCCCTTGGCAAGCCACAATAGTCCCGAGAACCGTATACGAAAAAACAAGTGGTTTAGGAGCACACATGATATGTAAGCAAGCACAAGGGGTTTCGGGGTTCCGAGTGTCACAGGAAAGGGGCAAAATTGTAAGAAGCATTGCAACGTATGCGACCTTGAAGTTGTAGATGCTGGATTCCGTAGTTGTAGCTTCTTGAATTGCTTTCTCTCACAAAACCCCTCACGAGAGACTTACTTGCCCATCGTGCATACAGTACGACAGTGGGAGTTTCGAAACAGCGAGTGGTACAGCTCGACTTTTTTGAGCATTTTGTCAGTCAACCTCTCTCCATAAATACTGGACCTATC